TTTGATGAAGTGAAGAGAGGATGTGAAAAATACTTTTCACGGCGTTTGATAAAAAAAAAATCACGTTTTGTTTTTCGTTTATTTATTGTTTAAAACTATTTTTTAATTATAAATGTAATTATAAATCGAATCACTGACACTTGACTTCAAATGAACACAATTGAACTCATTTTAAACTGTTATTTTTCTGATAACGTTTCATTCCCTTCATGAGTTTTTCTTTCTTTTTCTTGACATTAATTTATTTGTGAACAGGGAGATTATCGTTCATGTCATTCAGAAACCAAACATTCTGACAGAAGTGTCATAATTGTGTTTGTCATTGAAGACCAAGAGGCTACGCTACTCCGTTAGCATAAATAAAAGTTAATGCTACAGAATAACTTGGTTACTTCATGGTGGATTTTAAATATACTACAATAAAATGTCGTATCGATTCATGTATCAGCATCATGATTAATTTGATAATCTTTTAATTTCATTATCAGGACTGAACTGTTAGGTCGCCCAGAGATTCCCACCCCTAGTGCCCTGTCAGAGATGACACATGAGAGGCAGAAAAAGGTGGAACTTCTGGGTGGTCTGCTGCTGCTGCTTTAAAAGTCTCTCAACATGTCTCTGTGAGGATTTAAAGTCAGGGGCAGGACGGCCAATCTGGGTCATTTAAATATGAACATGTGGAAAGGCAGTGAAGAAGCAGGAGGACGGTTGGAGACGGGCCATAAAGGCAGAGCAAATTCATCTGGGTCTCAATTAAATGCATGTCCTCTGGAGCCAGAAAGGTTTGGATGGTGTGGAAGAGAAGTTTTTTTTCTCGTAGTTCTGCCTGAATGTGGAGACTGAACTTTAAAATCCACCCCTGGGCAGCTTATACTGGAATCCTTTACGTGAGATTGAGTACATTTACCAGCAGGCTGAGTTTTCTATTATCCTGGGATCTAATCCTGGGCTCTTTAACATCTGAGCGCCTAATTGTGGTTTGCCTGTAATCCCCTCAGGAGTTTTGCCTGGGCGATACACTACAGGGTGATAACATTGCAAACACAAGTCCAGTGTTTGTTTACCAACAGATCTGCTTGTAATTGTGAACGATCCCTGATGCATAAATCTACATACCTAACGCAGGGTCAGCAGCGGCACCGGGGTTTTTTTTTTCTTCTTCTTCTTCTTCTGACTGTCAGTGACTCCTTCAGTGGTTAGTGATGCAGGGAAATCTGAGGAACTGTTTTGAGATTGATGTTTTTTTTTAGGTTAGAATAAGGCATACGGTGTATTTTTAGATCAGATAGAAATATGGTAAATGTCATTTCTTTTTCTTTCCTTTTGTTTTATACTATTTAACATCAATAAACAAAGTTTAGGGAAAAATTATGTGAGAAAGTTTGATTTTGAAGACAAATACAAAGTTTTTTAAGATTCTAAATTAAATGTAAATTGTTGAAATATGTGTTGTTTTCTTTTCTAAAAAAAGACAAAAGACAGATATCTGTGTCATATTCTATCTGTATTTTTTTTGTTCTTGTATATCGCTACTACAACAACAACAACAACAACTACTACTACTACTACTACTAGTACTACTACTATTAAAGTGTTTTACTAGTTGTTTTCAGCACACTGCTGGAAGCCAGTTTTTTTTTTTACCAACATGACCTAGCGGACACTTCTCTATGAGGCAGGCTCTATAAACAAAGCGCTCAAAATATCATTACACATGGTGTGTAACATGACCTTGAACCTGTGTTTATAGTCAGACAAAAAAGCCGAGTTCTGCCATGGCTTCTGGTGAAGTCCTTGTCAGTTCCTGCTGCTGTCCAAACCTCAGGTTTTTTTTTTTTAAACTCTAGAAAGTCGTTCCGTAATGAGAAGTTGTTAAATGCCACCACTGAGTCCGTCGAGCAGAGCACAGCGTCGTCCTTCAGCTCTGGGAGAAATGTGGTCATTAGATGATCCAAAGATAAATAGTTTTTATGGTCTGCCGGTTTATTAGTATTTATCGTCGGTGGAGTAGGGCTGGAGATGAAGATTTTTTTTGACGGCGAGAACGAAGAAAGTACACGTTCAGTTGGTCGTATCTGTTTGAACCTGGAACTGTGGATTTTGATTGGCTGCACAGAAATCATTGGTATATACCACTCTTTCACTTGACAGGTGTTTAATAAGGAGCAGATAATTGTTGACGTCATGGAAATGGAGAGGATTTAAAAAAAAAAATCTCATTGTTTTATTTTTATCACATCCTGACTGAGAAAAGACGGGCGGGACAAGGACGACTTGGAGTTGATTTTGTTTTATTGCTGCTATCAGTACTTTATGATCTCTAGCAGCGCGGCGTTGTGTTTAAAACAGACTTTACTTCAACGCTGTGACATGATCGATGTTCGGAATAATTCAGAATATGAGTCACGTGTGCAGTCACGTGCACATGCGCCTCATTAAAATTCCATACGTCTTTCCTTCTTATAACGCAGATGAATTTCTTGGCTGAGCGAGAAAAAAAAAAAGAAGAAAAAAAAGCCCATCCATCTGCATCTGTCTGTGTGTGGAGACACAACATGGATGCCAGGCGGGGGAGACAGCTGGTTAGGCTGAGCATCACTGACGGACCTCAGTGCTTTCCTTGAAGAGCTAAAACAGCCGACATCAATCCTTCTGCACTGGTCTGCATTAGCAGTTCAAGGATGTAGCTAAGGCGGAGGCCCGGGGCTCATCCCATGCCAGACGGCTGGATGTAAATGCCACCTGTTTGGACAGCAGATGATATAGAGACAGATAAAAAACACAACGAGATTTCAGGCTGCATCCCATCTGGGGGTGGATCGATACCCTCTCTGGTAACAGGGATTGTCAAATTAAATTTCAAATTGTTGTTACAAATGATTACTAGTAGTCATACAAAATGGGCAGAAATTCTGACGGGTGGCTGGGGGGTGGGAGGTGGGGGTTAAGCATGATGGGGAGCTGGAGTCACCCAGGGCATGAATGATTGACTGGGTTCAGGCTGCAGGAATCAATACTGCTAAGGGCAAGATTTTGATAGGCCTGCCTGATAAGTCCCTGTGTCTTTTAGGCTGCGGTTTAATAGAGCACTGATGGTATTTCCAGCCAAAAACACAAACACACACACACACACAGGGGAGACAGTCACGCTCGACCCAAACAATCAGCCGAGCACAAACGGTACTGCACGCATTCTGGTTGAACATTTAATCTTCTTCAGATTCAATATGTCCTAGGATTCCAGACAGAGATGCAAAAAGTTTGGATGAAAACACCTTTGAGAAAAACATCAGTTGGAAAATGTCCTTTCTGGCTTATATACCTATACCGATATATATATATATATATATATATATATATACTTTCTGCAGCCCTAAAGCTGTGACAGCGTTTTTATTAACAGTTCAACGATGAGGTGTTTTGCGTTTACCTTCCTTTGCCTATAAATAAGTGGGTCACCTTGAACTGATTCCACAAGCGTAAATGTCAATCACATTTATGGGCTGTCAATATAAGAGGTTTCCTGTGATAAGTGATCAGGTGTGAAATTAATCAGATTAAAAATTGTAGCCCTTTTAAACACATGCGATGTGACTGATGTACACCTACTATGTTTGTCGGAGGGCCAGGGGTCTGGAAAATAAAAAAACATCGCATTTTTATTATTATAAATATTTATAATATTATTATCTTCAGACGTCCAGCTCCTCTGGTTAAACCAGGTCTTTAGTTTCACTTATTTTCTGTTTATTTTAGTTTCTTCTGCTTCATTCATTTCAGATGCTCCTGTGTGTCCACGTCTCCCTCCTCTACCTGTCCCTGCCTGCCATGTTCCTCTCCCTGGTGATCATCAACGATCCACACCTGTGTCTCATTACCCACCTGCGTGCATGTGTGTACATCCTTCACTTCCACTCTTTTGTTACCAGGTCAGAGCCAGTCTTTCCTTCAACTTATTCCCAGTGACTTTGCCATTTTAATTTATTTTTTAATCTTTTTGTATTATCTCTGGGTGCCTCAGCCAGCAGCCACGTCACATCTCAATGCCCAGCATGCCTTTCTGGAGCCTTGAACTTCAGGTCGGACGCCCGTCTTGCATCAGACCAGGCTCAACAAGTGCAACAAGGCAGTCTATGGATGAAGCGAGCACGACGGCTTCACCAACGATTTAAAAAGTAGCCTTAACAACCATCAAGATCGACAGTGACCACTGCAATCCACCGACTTTGTGAGGTAAGATTATACTTTTGTATATTTTTTATGTTTTTTAAGTGACAAAAAAAATTGTGTTTTTCTTTGTATCTCTGTTCCACTATTTAAAACAAAAACATTTTATTATCTTATTAAGGGAGGTCTCTGTAGTAGTAATTAATACACAGCTACCCTGTAATGAAACAGTTGGACTTATATAAGTCCTCAAAACTGTGTCCGGTGTACATGTAAGTCCAGAGAAAATTGGTTTACTTCTTAATCTGTTCATGACATCAGTGGACATTTTCCTGGAGATCATTTAGTCTCAGTAATGAGATTAAGGTCTTCATCAATAAAATGTAATGTCAACTTAGGTAATTGGTTTAGAGTGAAAAGAAAAGGGTGATAAATCATATGTGGACACTGCATTAAATTGACAGCAGCACCATCTGATGGACGTCTGCAGCCAAGAATGTGTGTTTCCATGCGTGTGTGTGGCTGTGTGTGTAAAGTTTTGCAAACAAACATTCCCCAGTTTCTGGCGTACTAACACCCCACCCCACTAGGGGGTGGTAATTCACTTTAAATATAGTACTAAAATCAGCCAAGATGACAGGGTTCAGAGCCAAAAAACATCTTAAGTGTTGAATAAAATAGCTGTAATTGACTGAAAAAACTACAGATAAACACAAGTTAGAGTTAAATATGTTTTTGTTTAGTTAAAGGTGACATTTATCGTAGGTATCGAAGGGTAAATCCAGTTCTAACTGGTGTAACGAATGAAAATGAGCAGCTGTCATTGAACTCACCCGCTCTTGGCGAAGTTAGTCCAGTAGGTCATCACCACAGCGCTGACAATGAAGTCGTTCTTCGAATAATTACAGGGGAAAAGGTCGGTCGGACCAATCATTGGAATTCCAAAAACGTATGGCACTTCATCCCCGTGGGCGGTGTCCGACCAGGCGGGCTTCATCAGGCTCTGGCAGTGGTGGTAGAAGGCGTAGAAGTAGGTGGGAGAGCCGTAGCGTGCGTGCAGATCAGCCGTCACCACTGACGGCTCCACCCACTGGTGATCGGTGAACAGGGCCACCAGGGTTTTGCGCCTGGTCTCCGGATTGTCCCTGTCTGCCCAGTCTGTGTACATGAACTTGATGGTCTCCCTCAGCGTGTCCTTGCCCTCGGGGTACCCGTACAGACTGTCCACAAAGTCCGAGACGGAGAAGTCAAAGTCATTTCCAGAGACGCCGTCCTCCGAATCCACAACATTCTCCACGAACCGCAGGCCCTCGCCCTGGTTGACCCCTAGCATGATGTCATAGTTGAGGAACTCTCCCTGCTCCATCAGGATCTCAGGGTCGTCCGGAATGACATCGCCATCAATTACAGGCCCAAACGCCACATGGTACCTCGCCGGCTGTATGTCCTGCTCCACCAGCTCTCTGGAGCTCTTCTTCCTCAGACAGTCCACCATGTCTAAGGTGTCCAGGACATTGCAGCCCACCTTCTCTGCCAGGAGACGAGTGTACTTGACCGGCTGGTAGTTGACCGCCCAGCTGGAGAGGGCAGAGCCGCTCTGAATGATGGCTCTGTGGAACAAACCTGCACAAGGACACAGGGAAGAGAGGACAGAGGGATGTTTAGAGGGTTGTTATATCGCGAGAGATAATTCTGTTATGCGCCATAATACACGACGGTTGTTAATTTTGGTGCCACCGTGATCAAAAGGGGGCTGTCAGCTACACGGCTGATAAGAATAACAAAGGCCAGACAGAGCAACTTCTTGTTGCCAAACAGAGCAATAATAGAATCATGGCTGTGATAATGAATGTGCAGATGGCCTGGTCTCACAGACAGCTTGCAGACTGAGGAGGGAATCAGTGCTCTGTCTGTCATTTTTCCTCCTCCCATTTATCTCCATACACTCGCTGTGTATTAGCTCCTGTGTATTTATCTGGAGCAGATGCTGCAAATGCACCTCTGCAGGCTTTGTTGGACGTGCTGCACAGGAAGAGTCAAGACTAACAAAAAGGGCCTGTACACCGTGTCAGACATGACGTCCTTCGCCCCGTGGTAAATGCACAGCGTTTTATTGAATATGTCAACCCCGAACGCTGCCTTAATGTACTTTTCAAGGCAGCTGTAAATTGGATGAGCCTGAAACACTGCAATTATAGACACAGATGCTGCTCTCCTGCAGTCATTACACACGCACGCGAGCACGCACATGCACATGTGCACGCAGGAACAGCGCTGCATCAATAACGCCTAGTGCAAGGTAAAAGCCTAAACTTCTTTAACCCCAAAGATCAGTAAATTTTACAGGAGTTTGTGGGTGGATTTCTATAAATAAAACCCGACTCCCACTGCCTGCATTTGCAGAAGGAAGGAAGGAAGCAGCACAGATTCACTCTGTCGCACAAAGGAACTACAGCACACACCATTTCAGTCAATAAATGTTTTTTGATATGCTGTGTACGAGTGAATGAGTAGAGTGTGGGTTGGTGAAGTCTGATGTACTTCCTTCACAAATTGCATTACATTTCAGTGGCAGAAAAACAGGAAGGTGTTTTCAAATGACTACTTTTTTTTCACAAGGAACCAATTTCCAAACAGGAAACAATTTTCTCTGTTTACTTTTTAGAACTCTTTCATTCTACACAATGAACTCAAAGTGACATCACAGCTTGTCTCCCCTGTTCAGTACATCTCACATCACTGTGACTCCCAAACCCCAACCCTAACTCCCCCATCCCTAACCCCACTAACCAGTACCACAACCTGACATCTGATACGGACCCCATACCAGCGTTAAACCTTAACACTCTATATCTCAACATGTGTCAGAGACTAAACGTCATCAGACATGAATTAAACATTTAGTTTATAATAAATGTTCACATTATTATAAAACTCACAGATTTATGTTGTTAGAATATTGTTTTGCAGTAGCAGCAACATCATTAAAAAAAAGAATAAATGGTCTTTCTAAACATTTGGTGCAAACAAGAAAAAAAGGTACGTAAAGTAAAAAATAGTAGTTGAAACAGAGAATAAGCAAGAAGCTTAACAAAGTTGAATGAACTTTTTTTCTAAAGAAAAACAACGTTTTATAAATATTTATAGTAAATGTGAGATCCAGACAAACACTGAAGCTGAGAATAAACAACTATGTTGACTAAAAATTCATAAATAACGAACGTCTTTGAACACATTCAGTGCACAATTCAGTGGCAAAAAGTTTTAATTTTACACATTAATTGTTCTTATACGTTGGAAACACGGCCTCGTGGAGTTTGAGTCTCGATAAAAAAACCAACTGTGTCAGACTATACGTTAGAGCGGGCGGCAGAAACCCACATTAAAGGTTAAGCCTTCAAAACAATAAATTCTGGCACATTCTCTGTAATTTGTGATCCTCTCGTGCTATTGGTCGAAAGTTTCTTTTCTCGTCACCTGTCTTTTTCTTCTGAGGAACGCATTGCAAGATTAAATAAATTAAATAATTAATAGCATAGAGCTAACGCTTTGACACGCTCCACGTAGCTGCTCTGCAAACACATGACGTAGCATCTCCGTGTCAGAGATCGACCCCGTTGTCTGTCTACACGGTTAGAAGTGACATCTGATGTTAGTATCAGATCTGAGCATCACCACTGACAGAGTCTCAGTTTCTGATGTTTCAGCATCAGCGTGGGAGGCTCTGTTGAAGTCTTTTGTGTTTATGAGGTAAACAAGAGAGTTAAGTGCCAGATACATCACTTTGGTAGTGTTAATCAGGGGCGGCGGCGGGGGGGGCTTTTTTTTTTTTTCTTGGCAAAGATGAAGTGTTTATTTGCAGAGCTATTTACATTTATTTGTTTGCAAGTAGTAAGTGGAATTAATGCGTCTGGGTGAGTGAACTGATAAATGTTTCTATGGTGAGTGTGTGTGTTTCCAAGTATAGTCTACTCTGAGCACAGTCTAAGGGAGCGTCTTTCAGCCAAGATTTCAAAATAAATCTCACAACACCTCTCTGACTTTGCATCATGTTATTTTCTGACAAGGCCGAGTCTACACACATGGATACACATGGCAGGTTGAGGTTCCAAGATAGAGTTTTTAATTTTAAAATGTCAAACATTAATAACTACTACATGTGGAGACACACCTTTCGGGTGTTTTTGACAACCATCACGTCATCTTTGTCAAGCTTTGGATACATTTTAATTGATAACATTTTTTAAATCTCCCAAAAACCCCAACTTTCTTTACCCAAACTTTTTTGTAAATGTATTCATATTTTTGCAACAGCTTTGTAATTAGTCTTGACTAATTTCCTTCTGATTTACGAGTTTTCCCCCAGTTTACTGTCTAATACTGCAGCTGTCATAAGTAAATTTTCCTCATGAGATTAATAAAGTATGTTTATTTTTATTATTATTTTTCTTTTCCCAAAACTGAAAAAAAGAAGATAAAAAAGGAACTCAATATCAGTGCCTACTTGCGGCAAAGAAGCAAGTTGTTTTTAAACCATCCCCCAGAAATCTGTAGAGAAGAATTTCTATGATTAAAAAAAAAAAAAACACCTCCTGCAGGATTGTTTGGACTGAGCCAGATAAAAGTAAGAGGAAAAGCTTTGGTCGAAGCAGTTCAGTGGATGGCAACTGGACTTTCTTGTTGACTTGAAGATGTTTCACCTGAAACCAGGTCATAAAATAACCTGGAGGTCTAAGAACCTACATGAAGACAGAACTTTATTTTCTTTCATATGTAAAGATTTTTTTTTCACCTTTGGAACTCTCAGATCTATCTACAAACCTTCCTACTGACCTCACCTTATCTTCCCCAACCTACAGTCTTACTCACTAACATACCTTTCAATCAACTCACCCATAAACACCAACATAACCCATCAACCATCCAACTGTCCAGGTACCAAACTTTCTTTCTTCAGAGACTGGTTTACCTCCAATACTGTTCCATGTCCCATTGACCTTTGACTGAAAATCAGAGACACTGGTTTACCTCCAATACTGTTCCATGTCCCATTGACCTTTGACTGAAAGATTAATTTTTATTAATTTCTTAATTTAATTAAGCATCAAATTACAAGTACTACAGTACTGCAGGTCCAGAAGCTCCACCAGACACTGTACTTCACCGACTCATGTTCTGCTCATGTGTCCGGCGTTGACCTGGCTCCAGTCCTCTGTTGCCTTGCCCCGCCGTTGCCCCCGGAGCTGTCCTGTGGTCGTGTGCCTCAGTAGGAGGGTGGCCTGGGCCACGTCCCAGCGAGCGGAAGCAGATGTCTGGGGTGACACTCACTTGAAAGCATTAGAGCAGCAGCGGCCGGATGAAAGATGGCTGCTCTGACGCCTAAAGGAGGGCTTGAGCTTAATCCTTCCTCTCCTCCTCCTCCTCTTCCCTCCGCCCCTAACACTCTTTAGTGGTATTGCCTCTCTTCACATTTCAACTCAGATTGCTCTGCAGACAGAGTCAGTCATGGTGCAGGGAGTCCGTCCTGAATCCCAATGCCGCAGCAGCCACAGCCACAGCCGCTCTCTGGAAATCTTTGATCAGACGCTGCTGTATGAAAACATTTGCCAGCGGAGCAGTTACTGTGATTGCCAAAGCAATTTGACAGACATATGTACATCAAATCCGTTTGTCATAATTGAGGAGAGGCTTAAATACGACTGGGCTGCGTCCCGTGTCTTTCCTGCGCGCCCGGAGCTCACAGATGGCCAGCTGCTGAGGAGCCTGCGTCCAGGTTGATTCTGCTGGATATATCGGCGGCTGCGGCTGATGAAAGGCGGGAGAAGTGACTGAGGCTTCACCATTGTTTGTCGAGAAACGTATAAATCCAGTGCACGCGAGCTGTCAGCGAACCAATAAATATGTATTAGAGCAATGTTTGATGAGGCCCACTGTGATGGGAAGCTCGCTGGGGAAGGTCAGAGGGAGAAGGAGAAGTGCACAGGCACCATCAGCCACTGTGGGAATCCACTAATTATCCACTCAGGGAGGTGCATGTGTGCGTCCGTGGGTGCATGTGTGTTTGTGTAGACTTTGATTGATATGCCACAGCCCTGATGAATAGGCCACCGCACGACAGGCATCCTCCTGATGATGGTTAAGCACTCGTGACATTGTTTTCTCTTCGCCGTCCGTGCGGTTGCTCACTCGGTATTGCGGCGAATTAAAGGCGGGGGCCGCGGAGAAGCGAGCAGCGGTGGCGGCGACGACACGTGCGCCACATTCATATCTCTCCATGTTTTACTTTGTTGAGGCAACAGATACCCCGATCATTATCTACCTGTGTTTGACATGCCAGTACCTGACACCAAAACTGTGAGCAGATCCATCAAGTGCTAGCATAGCTGGCATATTGAGGTCATGCTGAATTATGACTGGAGCTCTGAGGTAATCACTCACCGGGCCCCTGCTAAAATGCTGTCGCGCGGCTCGGCAGCTGCCTCAACGCTGCTGTTATCTGACCTCGACCGCGCTGCCCCCTCACTAGACACCTGTTAAATTGGCATGCAGTTCAGGCCCCTCATTGGTGAAGTGGCCTGTGGAGATAATTTACCTCTGATGGAGAGGGGAAAAAGCTTGACCTT